TATGTGTCTCTTCCAGGCATTTGCCAGGTGGTTGTCTTCTGAATTTCTTAATATTTATGAGTAAGCGTCTCCAGTGCTGAATCAGTTTGTTGAAACATTGCAATGGTATTCTGTCATTCCCTGGAGGCTTGTTTTTTGCCAAGATCTTTAGTGCAGCTTGGATGTCTTCTTCAATTCCATTGATTACCCATCATATGCTACCTTCTGAAATGGTTGAACATCAACCTTTTTATTTTATTTTATTTTGTACGGTAACTGTTTGTATTGCTCCCATCTTCTTTGGATGCTTCCTGCATCATTCAATACCCATGGGGACAGTAATCAAGAAATCAGAAGACATATTGCACCGGACAAATCTACTTCATAAACCTCTTTATGGTGTAGAGGAGCAAAGATTTCACTTTGAAGACTAAGATGTGCCTAACCTATGTGATGGTGTTTTCAAGGACCTCACATGCGTGGGAAAGCCTGCCAATGAATACGGAAGATGGAAGAAGAGATGAGGCTTTCGAGTTGTGGTGTTAGTGAAGAATACTGAAGTACCATGGACTTCCAGAAGAAGTAACAAGTCTGTTGTGGAGGAAGTGCTCCTGGAATGCTCCTTGAAGTGAGAAAAGCCAGACATTGTCTCACCTACTTTGGTTATGTTATCAGAAGGGACCATTCCCTGGAGAAGGATCTCATGGTTGGTAAAGTGGAGGTCCATGAAAAAGGGGAAGTCCTCAACGATATGGATTGCACACAGGAGTTGTTACAATGGGTTCAGGTATAGCAAACAATGTGACGTTGGTACAGGACTGGAGAGTGTTTTGTTCTGTTGTGCATAGGGTCACTATGAGCCAGAGCTAACATAAGAGAACTGACAACAGCAACACCATTTATGGAGATTTTACAACCTACTGAGAGCCTTGTCCTATCCCTGAGTGATTAAAGGAGAGCATTTAGAACAAAATGCATTTTGGTATTGCTCAATACATGTTATATAAAGAGAGAGACAGAGATAGGGATGGAGAGAGGGAGATATGAATATAGGTGGGGACAAATAATAGACATATAAAGACCCAGGTGTGGGGTTGATAGACCACTGGAGCAGTAAGTAGATGGGTGGATGGCAGAGAGAGCGGCTGGTTCACAGGCTGCAATGTCTCTGGGTGTTCAGATGGGGGAGGTGCCTCCAATGTGATAGGAAGCCACGCCCTCAAGTCCTCTGTTCCTGGAAAAATCTGAAACCACATGCTCAACCTACAGCATGGGGAGCTTCACCAGAGGTCAAGTGTTACACCCAAGTGACATCAGACACTGACTCCCTCTTCAACAGATCATCTCAAGGACTGGAGGATCCACACAGGAACATCCCAGAGGGCAGGGTTTCATCAGTGTGGTGATGGAGTCAAAGGCAGTGAACTGAAACATCGTGAGACCAGAACCTAATCCACCCACAGGGAGAACTGGAAAGTGTGCTGCAGAGATCCCAGGACAACTAAGCACAGAGCTCACCCTCGGGAGCAGGTGAAGGGGAGGAAGGAATACATTTCCCGTCAGGGTCTGGGACCTCTTTACTCTTTCAACGTTCTTTGCCTCATAGTTCTGAGACCCTTTCCGACCTCTGAGAGTCATGAGTCAGATTTCTTAGAGTAAAAGTCTATCTCAGGGGGAAGAGGGAAGAGTGTTACGGAGGAGGAGGGGAGACACCATGCCATGTAACTAGCCCCTTGTTTGTACACTCTTCATCTGAAGACAATGGAGAAATGGTCCTCAGCACTATGTTTGCTTGTGCTTCAGGGAAGAACAAGCAGATATTCAGAGATAGATTAGAAAAATGAACAGGAGGGTATGGCCTCCATGTTGAATAACAAACTCCTCTTATGGACAAAGTTATATTGTCTAAAATAAAGAAAGGAACAAGGTCCATGTTCAACATGAAGACTCAGAGTCTGAGACCTTAATCTTTGATTGAAAGGGGCATGGACTTGTGACATAGCTCTGAGTGAGCCCACACTCTCAGACCTGGGTTCCCTACTCAGCCGAAAGAAGTGCACTGCAGCCGCATGGTGCTAGGGTCCACCTGGAAGGTCTATGGGAAGGCACAATCTGAGAGGTTGGTGTCCTCACAGCCCTCCCTAAAGAGACACAGACACATTCTAACCTGGACGCATTCTGGATTCCCCCAGAAACTGAGGTGGGGACCCTCTGTACTGTCTCCCTGGTCCCTCAGGTTGCAGACTCACACAGACCTTCAACCTCCCCTCCCTCAATGTGGACTGAGAGATGCATTGGGATGGGAAGGCCCTGCTTTGTTCTGTCCAGAGCCAGGGTGAAGGATGATAGTGCTAAAGTGTGTGTGGGGGTATGTGTGTGCGGGGGTATTTGGACATCCTCAGGTCTCTCCAAGGGGTCTCAAAACCTGCACCTCTCCTTGTCTTCCGGTTCTAGAATTATAAGGCCTGAGGACTCTCACCTGGAAGGCAGGGCAGAGATATGCAAAGTGAAGACATCCATTTAAAAGCCAGTCTGCCTCTACAGGAGAGTCTCACTCAACACTCATCTCGGGTCCTTACTGCTTTCCTTCCCAACCTCCTTCCAAGATGGTGTCTGTCAAAATCCTTGCCCTCCTCATGGCAGTGCTCCCAGGTCAGAGATGGCCCGGGGTTTGAGGTCCCCTACTGGGTGGGAGGAGAAAGCCTCTGACCTCGGATTCCTGTCTCCACAGGAGTCTGTGCCCAGGTGCAGCTGGTGCAGTCCGGGGCAGAGGTGAAGAGACCTGGGGAGTCTCTGAAGATCTCCTGCAAGGCATCTGGATACAGCTTTACTAGCGAGTGGATCAGCTGGGTGCGGCAGATGCCCGGAAAAGGCTTGGAGTGGGTGGGAGACATATAATCCTGGTGGTTCTGATCCCAGGTACAGCCCGTTCTTCCAAGGCCAAGTCACCATCTCCAGAGACAACTCCATCAGCACCACCTTCCTGCAGTGGAGCGGCCTGAAGGCCACGGACACAGCCATGTATTACTGTGTGAGGGGCACAGTGAGAGAAACCACATCCCGAGAGGGACAGAAACCCTCAGCCAGCTGTGGATGCAGAGCAGAGCCCTCAGGGGCACATCCACCCGGGATAAGTGAAAACCACATTTGAAAGAGGGATGTCTAAGTTTGTGTGTGTCTATCTGTCTCTCTCTCTTTAACACACACACACACACACACACACAGAATATCTTATTAAATCTGAAGATAAAGCAAAAAAATAATCCCTTTTATGAAATTTCTAATTCACACTTCCACACAAAAATATAATTGTTATAGGTTAGGAAAAAATCCCATGAAAAAAAACATCATTTTATAGAAATAAAAAAAGACATTTCCTTCCAAATTAACAGAAATAAATAAGTGAGCTGACCACAGTGTGAGACCAGGAAAATCAAGGTCTTCCAAAAAATTGCAAGTGATCTGACATTACTACAAATCAACTGTAAGACTGGAGGGGAAGATGGTGACTT